AATAGTTTCAGCTCAGATTTAACTGGAAGCAAAATATGGGGCAAAGTTTTCTGCGCAATGAGTAAGTAGAAACAAAAGACATCAAGTTTTTGCTTCACAGAGCGTGGGGAGAATTAAAAAAAAAACTGAAACAATTTTTTTATTGAAAATATCAGTTCATATCACTGTTTAAATCAAAAATTACTTGAAAATTTTAATTGAAGTTTATTGGAACATTCAAGGCAACGTTGTTTGTTCTTAAACTCGCCTTTAAACAGTTTTTGCAAATGCAAGGCTATATAAAATCAAATTTGTAAATTATTCAGTGAAAGTACTTTATGGTTTAGTTTCATAGTGGATTTTAGCTGTTATTTTTCTCCGCAGAAAAAAAATGTATAAATTGATCCAGGTTCTTAAGTTGGGTTTAAATTAAAACAAAATAGCCAATCATCAACGATTGTTAATTTAATCAAGAGTTTTATGATAAATCGCTTGTCGTTCAACTTTTGTGTTTCGACTCTTATTAAAATAATGGATATATTTTACAATCTCACTCAACATTTACTAGAAAGAGAGAAATTGTTAGTAGATTAAGTTAGTCGAATTTCAAACTATCAGATGTCAGCAAAGTTAACATAATCAATGTGAAAAATCTTGTTTTAATTTTTGTCGGGTTGTGGAAGGTGAAATTTTGTTATTTTTCGAATTTTGGATATACCAATCTTCAGTTTCAATCGATTATCCTATATTTCACAGGCGACAAGTGTGCTGCGCCTTTTTAAATGTTTTTTTAACGATACATTTAAAGATTTCTGGGAAACAGTCGATTCTTGCATATGTTACCAAAATTTATTTCTAATTTTAGCTTCGTGGTAAGTGTGTTTCATTTAGTTATCGTCTTTTTTCCTTTAACTTTTCTGATTGATGTTTGATTTCTATGGTTTCTAGATTTCAGTTTTTGTGGTAACGAATTTGTTGTTGCCCTGAAAAGATTGTTTATATTTTACGTTGGGACAAATTGTAGGCCTTCTTGTGGCGGTCCTGTATTTGACCAGCAAATATGTTGATCTAGCTAACTGCACATTAAAATTACATTTATACTGGTTGATTTTGCAATCTGCATCTGTATAATGCTTATACAAGCAAAAAATTCCATTACTTAAGCAACATGAGTCGCGGACCTCGACCCGGGTAGAAAACTCTAGCGCTCATTTATTGTTTTTACTTAGAGAGTAGAATTATTTAGTAGACAACATGGGGAAGGAGAGTTTGTAAATAAAGATAATTGAACTTTCAAGAAACAGCTAATAGATACAAAAAAAATTAACAAAAAATCAGTTCATTTTTAAATGAATCTTTGAGAGGGTTCCAAATAGCAAGTTTGCCTGTCGAGTAGAACGTCTGAGCAAACAGTTTTTTCTTGCTAGATAAACTAAAGCAAAATTCTAAAATTGATCTTTTATGTTTTTTTTCACCTTTAAAAATTACAATTAGCGTAAAAGTCATAAAAAATTTTGGTCTTTTCCTCGTATTAGGTGCCAAGAAGGTTTCGTCTATCTCTACTTCAGTTGTATAGCTTTTCATTTCTCAGGTCACGCTCTCCTTCGTATTACTTTATCTAACAATTTCAAAATTTGGTGAATCTGCATTTCTTTTATGTAGCTTTGATAACTTGTGTTGATTTAGTAATTGTTCCGACTTTCGATACGAAAGTAACAGAATATTTGTGCTTGGGTGTGGGCTTTTTTTTCTTAGAAAATATTCGACTTTTTAACTAGCCATTTTTGACGTAATTTTTATATCATTCAAAAGATATTGTTGTCTTGAGCTTTAATTTGAAAAGATATTTTACTTCTGATCACTTTTCGTAAAGTTATGGGGGTTTAAAGATTGCCATTTTGGCCAATTTGGGACAATAAACGTGCGATATATTTCGCGATATTAACGCGTGAGCGGAGATTTAATCCGTCTTAGAAATCGTTCCAAATTAGTTAAAAGAAGCTTATTTGCTATAATTGATTTGTTACAAGGAGCGAATCTATTCTTTTATAGTTTATATGGCGTGTGGGGGGATAATTTTTTTATTAAAAAATTTCAAATTTTAGAGAAAAAAAACTTCATTTTTTATTACATTTAATTTGTTACTGATATTTATGTTATTACTGCTTTATAAACCTTAAAAGGCAGTCTAAACATTCAGCGCTTTGCCCTGATACGAGCAGTCTTGTTGACATATACTGTCAAATTTTCTCAGCTTGGAATAGTTTTTTCAACTCAACCTTTGATGGTTTTCTAACTTTGTTAAATCCATCTTGTTTGCTGTCCCATATAATAACACTCAATTTAATCATAGGTTTTATAAAATTTAAGAAGCTGTATTTGATTAAAACAAACTTTTAATCAGTAAAACATAGAAGCTGGCTACAAACTTTTTGTTGTTTAATTTTTCAGTATGCTGCTTGTAATTAAGGTTTGTGTCCATTACATTTTTTAATTACTTAGCCGAGCTCCGTTTTTGTTCTCAAAACTACTGAGTTGATACTCAGACAATTGATTATTGGTTAAAACGCTAGTCTTCGTGATATGATTTTAGCAGTTGCATTGAAAATATTCCAACCAATTTATTTTTACTTATAGCGTTAGTTTGTTGGGTTGCAACCGGGGGTTGTGAAATTAGACGATAAGCAAAGTAGACGGAGGTACTTGGAAGGAATATAGACGATTTTGCAATTGTGAGAAAAGAGACGAAAGTGAGAGAGATTAAAATTGTTTGCAGACAAATTGCGCGAGAAAAATATAATTGTTTGCAGACAACTGTTAAATTTTGGTAGCCAAAAATTTTACAAGTCAATCATGCATAATTTATTTAATTCAAAGTTCTCTTGTAATATTCGGATTTGACATTTTTTGTTCATTTAAACTAATTGTTTTGATATGCATTGACATTTTATGTTCTTTTTGTATTTGCGAAACTTGACTCTTAAGAAAAAAACTTGTTTGCCCTTTCCTTTTCATAGCTTTTTTATCTAAAATGCCAGATCTGTAAAAAAAAAATT